AAAGTTAAGATATGTGTTTAAAGAAGTAAGAAAAATGATAGTTAGATGTGACGTTAGAAAAACTTTATTATTAGCCTTTTAAATACTCTAAGATTTTTACCATTAATAAAATGTCTCAACTAATTAGAGTTTAAAATTTTAAATTATACATCTTAATCAATAAAAGTAAAATTTTGAAAAATGAGAGGGTTTATATGACTTATTCATTTATAATTATTATGTTAGAAAAACATTCTCACATGCCTATCTACTTATTTATTCTCTTTTAAAAGGAGAGACTAATTAAATTACTTTTTAAACCATAGAAACAAATGTACTTTACAAAATTGGATAGTGCTTTTCCTAATTTTGCATAATTTTCAGTGGTCCAGGTTATTTAGTGAAATTTACAGCTGTGCCACTAATTGTCAACTAATATACTTCTTTTTACCATTCAGAAGTCACCTTATAATTACATACGGTAGCTAAAAAAGGCAGATCACAGTATCACACCCAAAAGAAAAGAAAAGAAAAAACTAAAAATGGCAAAGATGTATTTTTATAAATTGATTCATTCCCATGAATTCAGCTAAATATACCTTTAAGTATTATGAGTTCAAATTTATTGAAATATGTATATACAAGTCTTATATAAATTATTAGTTATTATTAATTTTTAAATTTAATAATAAAAATGATGATGATATATTTACAGATATATTTCAAGCTATTAAACAAAGACAATTATTTTTTTAAATGGAAATAAAAATAGAAATAGAATGATACCTGATCATCATCTGCATCGCCAGCATGCAGTAATTCCAGTTGTTTTCCTGCTAACGTGGACTCGAACCGCCGAACCAGAAAAGGGGCAGCCATGTTGCATGGAAACGGAAGAGCGTGTCTAGAGGTTTCTGCAACCCCGCTGGCTAGAGATGAGCCGAAGGGATTGCTCCGGTGGTCGACAAGGCCAGCCATAAAACGGCCGTTGCTGCAGACACATCTCTTGACATAATCTCCGATTGCTTTCGATCTTGCGCTCCACATCGCCATGACGATGACGTACGTAACTCAAATGAAAAGCTGTTTCCAGGGAGAAGTTATTTAGAAATTAATTAAGGTGAAGAAGGAGATGGAGGAAAAAGATAACGAACAATTGGTGAAACGGCAAAAAGGAAGTGAGTTCATTTGATGATTGATATTAGTGCGGATGGTTTTTATGGTCAGTCTTTATGCTTGGGAAGAGAAGATATGAATTTATGCATATGTTGTCAGTGTCTTACCAGAAAGGACAGGTTATCTCTTCCAGTCCGTTTGATTTTCTGATTCCTAAAATTAAAATGTCTGTAACTCTGTTTACCTGAAATATCACTTAAATAAGTTGTCTAAACAGCAGAGATTGATAGCATTTATTGTCTGTTTCCGATTGCCAAAATCGAGGCTGAGCTTTACATTTCAATAGAAATAAATGTTATTTATATCATGACCGTATGGTGACTGTTTTCATAAGAATTACTTTAGCCGCTTAATTATATATATAGATAAATTTCATTACCTATTTTCAAAATATATATATAGATAAATTTTTTTTTTAAAAATAATTGTTATGATTTTTTATTTGATATATTTTTTTAATTTAATTTTTAAAATATAATATAAATATAATTAACTTAATTAATATTTTCATATTATATG